CCCCCCCCCCCCCCCCCCCATGCCAAACGCTGTCTCTTCCGAACAAGCAGAGTTGTCAGTCTTAATTAATGGGGACCGTGGCTGTAAGATGATGGATCCCCTGTGCTAGGCAAGAGAGAGGGGTTCAGGGTTAAGATGCGGTGTCACTGGGGTGTGTTCAGGTTTGACTATTTGCTCTGTTTCATTCTACCAGTACCCAGGAATAGCTCGCAGCATCAAGAGTGACGTGGAGAACCTGCTGTCTCTGTTGAAAATGAGCATCCCACTGCCAGAAGGTAAAGCAGAAGCATAGAATTGTTACAGTACCAAAGAAGACCATTTGGCCCATCGGGTGTGAGCCAGCTCTCGGAATGAACAGTTCACGTAGTGCCATTCTCACACCTCCTCCTGTAACATTGCTCGTTTTCAGATAACTTCCTCTTGAATGCCTCAACCAAATTTTCATCCACCACTCACTCAGACAGAGCGATCCAGACCTAACTTACTTAGTTTAAAACTCCTTTTTGCTTCTTTTCCCAGTTACTTTTAATCTGTGCCGTTTTGTAATTGATACTTTCACAAGTGGGAATGGTTTCTCCTTATATATTCTGCCTGGACCCCTCATGTTTTTGAACGGGCAAGGTTGAGCGAGATGGCCCCAGGATTTGGGAATGGGAGGAGCTCCAATGCTCAAAGTCTCTTCCTGCCTTCTCCCTGCAGGCCTGTTTGCCGAGAGCGGAATTGGGGTCCTGAAGCGGGAGCTGGAATGGGAATGTGATTACGTACGGGAGGCGGCTTGTGCCAGGAGGTTCAGGTACAATGGACTTGTCGTTCTACGAAGCCATCCCCAAATGAGATCACTGAAAAGTTAATCTTGGGATTGTTTGAAGCAAAATCTTTTGAGTTTTATCAAGTTAAAAATTGGATGTTGTCATGGGAGAGTGGATGGACCAGAGAGATGGGCGCTGAAGGCATTTCATATCCCTGACAACTTCCTCTCTAGTTGGAGAAATTGCGATACGTTGTTGATTTATCTGTGAAGACATAACTGAAAAGTGACAAACAAAACCTAGTGTCGGACAAGTAAATTGGCATTGCTAGTGACCAACTGGTAGATGTAAGGTTTGCATTTTGTGGTTGATGCTGGCAATGGAGCTGAGAGAGTGCAGAAACTTACCTCACAGCACCGCTTGGTGGCTAAAGCCTGCAACTACACTGTGACTGTTGACATAGGAAAGTTGTGTGGAAAATGTTAACATGGCTTTTATTCTCATCGAGGTTTATCTTTGTAAACTATGTTGCAGTGTGTGAGTAGGACGTGCTTTACCCCCATCTCCCAAGAGATTATAGATTAAAAAGGGTGGGGGAACTGGAGAGGGGTAGTGTTGAACAGACTTTCGACGATCCACATATTTTCTGCATGTCTCATGAATTTAAATGCAGCTTTGGATTTTTATGGCGCTGGTTATATCTTCTTCCCTGCTTTGCTGAATTTGCTGCTTGAATTCCTTGAAGTTTTGCAAGGATTAACCTCAATGCCACTATTGATGTAGAATCATCAATCTGTGGAATTGAAGCAGGTAAAAACCAATGGAATAATAATTGAAAGCAACCACACGAAATAGGAATAGAAGTAGGCCATTCGGCCCCTTGAGCCTGCTCTGCCATTCAATAGGATCATGGCCGATCCCACATTTCTCATGTCCACTTTCCTGCCCTTTCCCCATAACCCTTGATTCCCTGACTGATCAAGAATCTATCTGGCTCAGCCTTAAATATACACAAGGACTCTGTCCCCACAGCTCCCTGTGGCAAGGAGTTCCAAAGACACCTAACCCTCTGAGAGGAGAAATTCCTCCTTGTCTCAGTTTTAATTTGGCACCCCATTATTCTGAAACTGTCCCCTCAGGTCCTAGACTCTCCCACAAGGACAAACCCCTTAAGAATCATGACTAAACATAAAAGAAGAAATCACCTCTCATTCTGCTCCAGTGAATAGAGTCCCAACCTGTTCAGCTTTTGCTAGTAAGACAATCCCTCCATAGGAGGGATTATCCATGTGACCGAGATAGTAGGAACTGCAGATGCTGGAGAATCTGAGATAACAAGGTGTACAGCTGGATGAACACAGCAGGCCAAGCAGCATCAGAGGAGCAGGAAGGCTGACGTTTCGGGCCTAGACCCTTCTTCAGACCTTTC